CACACACACACACACACACACACACACTCACACACACACTCACTCACACACACACACACTATATGAATAATCACGACAACAAATTCCAAGGTTGTCCAGTGGCCAGATCTTGTATGTAACGCATCTTTCTCACACGATCGACGCATAGAAATTTCAACCCATTTGTCCCCTCAACGTGGCAACTTACAGCCCAGTGATGCTATTGATATCTGCGCAGGTAGAACCGCGGGAAGAAAACAATGATCACTGGTAGAAATGGGAGGAGAAGACTCAGGTGGTGCTCCAGTGAAAAAAACAAATATACATGTGAATTGAGATATAGCTTACACTTCAAAAGGCTATGGTTTAATTGGTTAAATATGAGCGCTGCAAGTTTCATAGTCAGGTGCTTGCTGCTTTGTTTACTGCGGTTACCGGGGAAACGGCTGTATTCCTGGCGAAAAGCGCCACCTGCTGGCAATGAATGAATTTGCATTTTTCAATAAGCCCTTCTGCTTTGTTTAGACCAAAGCAAAAAACGACCCTTATTTTTACGCAGAAAACACGCAGTTGTAAATCTGAACTGGTGGATCGACAAGAAGATAATGAATTATAAAACTCTAAAGATATAGCCTACACTAAGATATATTTATGTTACTAAATGAAAGGAATTGTTTGATAATAATTGTTTAAATTAATATAAAAATTGTTACTTTTGACTCCGCCCCCCCTTCCCGTATTTTGGTACCCAAACGTTGACAGGTATGGGCCGACCCTAGCTCCACCCCTGCGTTAAATATTTTTAATGCGTTAAACTGAAAAAATGAATCGCATGCGTTAGCGTGCTAATTTTGACAGCACTAGTTATTATGTGTTCATGTTTGTGTTTTTGCTCACTGAAGACGATCTGGAGCCGCCGCGTCCCGTAAACAGCAGTCTTCAGGAGCTCTGTGTCTCCAGCGCTGGAGAAATCCTGCGCAGCGGCGACTCGTGGAAACCCAACGCCTGCAGCAGCTGCGTCTGCCGCGACGGGAACGTCCGCTGCTTCTCACAGCAGTGTCCACTCGCCGACTGCAGGGTCCCTGTGCTGCGCAAGGGCCAGTGCTGCCCGCAATGCATGCTGGGTACGTGTGTCTGCACAGACTGATGAGCGTCTGATCAGAGTCGCTCTACAGTGATTTTACCATGGGGAAAAGTGGAGTATAATTACTATTACACAGTCTCGGCAAGAGCAGTATAAGATGCTACATTTAATAATCGGAATAAATAATTATTCATTTAATTTTGTTTTAGAATTTAATTTTTAGTAAGTGTTTTTAAACATTTTTAGTAAATGTTATAATTTGATTGAATTTAAGTTTGACATTATTATTATTATTATTTATTAATTAATGTTTGTTTTTTTCATTTAAAAATTGTACTTGTTTTAATTTTACATTTATTTTTATTAACTGATATATTTTGTTATTGTTTTTATTTTTGTAATTATTTATTTTAACATTTTTATATATATATATATATATTTTTTAATAAGTGTTTTATTTTTAGTATTATTTATTTAATTTTACATTTTCATTATTAAATTTTTAGTGTTTTGTCCTAATTGCTTTTATTTTAAATGTATTTATTTTAGTTTTATATTTTTGTGATTCATTTTAGTAAGTGTTTTATTTTTATTATTTGTATTTTAAAAAAATTATTTTACATTTGTAATTTATTTGTTTTTATTTTAAATTATTTAAATTTTACGTATTTTTATAATTAAACTTTTTCATTTTACTTTTATATTTTTATTCTGTTTATTATATTTTTTTATTACATTATATTTTGTTTCAATTTCTGTTTTGTTTTGATTGCTAGGATTTCAAAAATATTTAATATTTAACTAATTAAAATAAAATTAATGATTAAATATTTTATTCTTGTTTTTGTGTTTTAGCTATTTTATTTTTAACATTTTTTGGTAATTTGTGAAATTTTAGTAAGTTTATATTTTTATGATTTAATTTTTGTTATTAACAAACCCCAGTTTGGGAATCCCTGCATTAGAATATATGCGGCCTGATGTTTGTAAATCAGCTCCTGTGGCATTCGAACATTCCTGCGATATTTGTGTTTTTGTCCATAAGAAATGAGCTGAATGATGATGATGTCGATCATGTGGTGTGTTTGCAGAGATAACGAGCTCGTCAGCGCCGCTAATGCTGTCGACGGCCGTCACCGAGGCTGCTCCTCCGCTCCACAGCGTCACACGTAAATACAGACACGATCACAACAATACGAGACGCAGCAGCCAATCACAACAGTGCGAGGAAGATGCCAGCTGATCAGATGAGGGAATACATACAGTGCTGCAAATTTAGTTTATTTATTTTAATGCTAGATTTTTATTATAATTTTTTTCAGTAACTTTACATTGTTTTTTTTTTTGGTTTAATTTTAATCAGTTTTAATTTTTAGTAAGCGTTTTATTTTTGTTTTAAAACTATTTTAGTTTTACATTTTAATGATTAATGTTTAGTAAGCGTTTCATTTTTGTTAATCAGAATAAAATTGCTTTATTTTCCATGTTATTTTGTTTAATTGTACATTTTCACGATTTTAGTGTTTTATTTTGATTTATTTATTTTAGTTGTTTGTGCATTTATTTTCGTTTTACATTTTTATGATTGATGTTTAGTGTTTGATATTTGTTATTTGAAATTTTTTATTTCACATTTATTTATTTATTAACTTATGGTATTGTTTTCATTTTAATAATATGTTTTGTTTATTGTAATTTAACATTTTTATACTTACATTTTTAATACTGTATTTTATATTTGGTATTATTTATTTAATTTTACATTTTTTGTGATTAATTTTGAAAATGTTTTAATTCAATTTGTTTTTGTTTTAAACATATTTGTTTATTTTAATTTTATATTTGTATGCTTATTTTTAAGTGTTTTAATTCAATAATTTATTTTCTAAGTATTTATTTTATTTATTTTGTGTCAATTTTTAGTAAGCGTGTTTTTATTATTTGTGTTTTAAAATTATTTTAATCTGACATTTTTACGATTTTTTTGTGTTTTATGATTCATATTTAGTGTTTTTTTATTATTTTTGTTTTTAAATTATTTTATTTTACAATATTTTACAATTTTATGATAAATTTTTAGTGTGGTTTTTTTTTTATTATTTCTTTATTTTAGGATTTTTCAGGATTTTATGATTAATTTTTACTAAGTGTTGGCTAGCGTTCGTCTCGCTGATCTGAGAACAATACGAGACGCAGCAGCCAATGAAAACAGCAGCAGCGCGAGGAAGATCTGATCTGATCAGACGAGGAATACAGCGCTGCAAATACTGCCATATTACAGGATCGATGGTTTCTGATGTCAGTGCTCTCTGGTCTAGATGGTGAAGGTCTCTCGCGGGACGTCCCGAGCCAGACGCAGATGACGCTCATCTACCAATCAGCGGCCTGGGTTCTGGCGGGAATCCTGCTGGCTGTGTTCATCTTCCTCCTGGTGGCCATCCTGGTGAACTGCAGGAAGAACTGGGTTCAGATGTCCTGCTACGGCGCGCCCAAGAAGGTGAGCGACTCAGAACTCGTTACCCAACAACTAACGACGCCATAAGAGCCGTTAAAGCTGGAATGAAGTATTTCAGCATACGAGAATCATATATCATCATAATTACAAAAAACACTCCTTCATTTGCAGCCCATTTAAACTCGTCATGTGACGCATTTCTGAGAAAAAACTACTTTTCCTTAGTTTAACATCAGTGATGATGAAGCACTTGCAGTTAGAACGGGAATATTGATTTTAAAAATAGTCTGTTTTGATTTCATGTTCACTTTTTAAGGTTTTAATATATTTTATAAACCTATATTAAGGTTTTAATGTTCTTTTAAGATTCATTTATTTATTTTATTTATTTTTTTGCACTCCCCAACAAATCTTTTTTTTTTTCGCAACCAAAATAATTTTATTTGTTTACTTTTTGCACACCTCTACAAGATCACCCCAATCATCCTCGCATGCTTCTTTCCAAATAGAGCTATTCGACTCATCTTATGAGCACAATATATATGGCAGGAAATCCAGACGCAGTGATGTGAGTTGTATTTCTCTCCTGTGTGTCCGTCAGACGGTGATCCTGCAGAAACACGTGAACAAGAGTTCTCTCGTCTACATGGAGCCGTCCAGAGAGAGTCAGTTCCAGAGCGTGAAGAGCGGAGAGCGAGTCTGCGTCCCGCGTGCTAAACTCACTAACGGACACGTCCAGCGCTAGCGTCAGAGGCCAGAAACTCCACCGAACGCCGGCGCAAGAACATCCCAGTACTGTGATCACCTCCTGCTTTATTCCGTGTTTTTATGATGTTCGGAGCGTCCAAACTAAACAGGACCACAGAAACTAAAGCAAGCAAGAAACAAACCAAACGTTCAGGAACCAGACGGACCTTCAGAGACCAGAGAAAAGAGATCTGCATCATATTCTGAGGCCTTGCAGCACAGACGTGTTTCCTGACCTCTCCAGTCTGTTTATTCGTTTCTATACGCTCAAGTGTTTTACTTGTAGTTTGTTGTTAGTCGCTTGTAAGCCTCGTGACTGAACATTGCTGTATACACACACACACACACATACACACAAACATACACTCACTCACACACTCTCTCTCACTCACACACACTCTCTCACACACACTCACTCTCTCACACACACTCACACACACAGACACACACACAAACACACACACAGACACACACAATCACACACACACACTCACACTCACACGCACACTC